CTCTGCCTCCCTGGTTCAAGCAACTCTCCTGTCTCAACCCTATTAAAACTACCTGGGATTACAGGTGCCCACCACTAAGCCCAGCTAATTTTTGTATTTTTAGTAGAGATGGGGTTTTACCATGTTGGCTAGGCTGGTCTTGAACTCCTGACCTCAGGTGATCCACCTGCCTTGGCCTCCCAAAGTGCTAGGATTACAGGCATGAGCCACCGAGCCCCGTCTGTATCTTTTTTTTTTTTTAATAGAGATGGGGTCTCACCATGTTCCCAGGCTGATCTTAAACTCCTGGGCTCAAGCAGTCCCCCCGCCTCAGCCTCCCAAAGTGCTGGGATTACAGGTGTGAGATATAGTGCCCAACAAAAGAAAGACATTTTCGGAGCAAAACAATTGAGGTAGGGACCCTGTCATTTAACTCACCGCTCAGGCTTATGCTGCTTGCCCCTCCCCCACAGAGTCACCTGCTATCTCATTGTGTGTTGCTGTATCCACATGTGTTTATGTAGAGCCTTCCAGAAAGATCACAGGAGTGCATTCCCCCCTCACCCAAGTACACTGTCCTTTCTTCCTTCCTTCCTTCCTCTCTCTTTCTTTTTCTTTGTTTCTTTCTTTCTTCTGTCCTTTCCTCTCTCTCTCTTCTGTCCTTTCCTCTCTCTCTCACTCTCTTTCTTTCTTTTCTTGCTTGCTTGACAGTTTTTCTCTTGTTGCCCAGGCTGGAGTGCAGTGGCACAATCTCAGCTCTCTGTAACCTCCACCTCCTGGGTTCAGGCCATTTTCCTTCCTCAGACTCTGGAGTAGCTCCAACTACAGGCACCGGCTATGATGCCCAGCTAATTTTTGTATTTTTAGTAGAGACAGGGTTTCATCATGTTGGCCAAGCTGGTCTTGACCTCAGGTAATCCACCTGTCTCAGCTTCCCAAAGTGCTGGGATTATAGACGTGACCCATGTCGCCTGGCCTGTATACTGCCTTTTAGATAGAAAACGAATTGGGGAAACTGAGGCATGCCTTGGCAGGAAGTGGAGCCCCCAGCAGCCTGCAACACCAACTTCTGCTGTCTGTCTAGTCGTGGGTGTCACATCTGCCTCTGCGGCAGGAGGTGGAGATTGTGGCAGGAAGTCGGATGGGCCAGGAGAGGGGTTCCCCGGCATGATGCTTGTCCTCCTGGTACAGTTCTGGGGTGAGTACTTAGGCATTGCTCCCCTCTGCACCCCCTCTCTTGCTGTCATTCCCAGCTGAGTGCCCTCCCATCTCAGAGCCTACATTCTGCCACATAGTGCTCATCTCCCTCCAAGGGAGTCTCCATAATGAGACTCAGAACATTACCGGGGGCTGGAGGATTAAGGAAGTATCCTCTGAGGAAGCCCCTAGGAGAGGCTAAACCTTGCCCTTCATACCAGCCGGGCCTGGCCTCTCTGCTCTCCATGCTCTGCACTGCCTTTGCTCCCACCCCTTGCTCCAGCCTGGGGGCCTTCCTTTCTGTTTTCCCCACAGGAATACTGGATCCAACCTTCAGGCCTTTCCAGCTGCTGTTCCAGCTGCCTGATACCCTTCCCCAGATCTCATGTCTCCATCCTCCTCTGCAATTGCATCTCAGATGCCAGAAACTTGACATAACCTCACCTTCTCTAGGGATCTAACAGACACGTCAGACTCCTCCCAGCCAAAAGCAAACTTTCCACTCCAGTGGCACCGCCCTCTGTGTTTCCAGTTGAGGACAAAAGGCTAGCCGGGCACGTTGGCTCATGCCTGTAATTCTAGCACTTTGGAAGGCTGAGGTGAGTGGATCACCTGAGGTCAGGAGTTTGAGACCATCCTGACCAATATGGTGAAACGCGGTCTCTATGAACAATATAAAAATTAGCTGGGCATGGTGGTGGGCTCCTGTAATCCCAGCTCCTCAGCAGACTGAGGTGGGAGAACTGCTTGAACCTGGGAGGTGGAGGTTGCAGTGAGCTGAGATCACACCACTGCACTCCAACCTGGGCAACAGAGTGCTACTCCTAAAAAAAAGGACAAAGGCTGCTGCCCTTCACACATTTCCTCAGGTGAAAACCTCCATTCCTCTTTCCCTATTCTCCAATTCCAGCTGCTTTGCACATTTTGGTTGTTCGTTTTTGTTTTTTAGAGATGGGTCTCACTGTGTTGCCCAGACTGGTCTTGAACTCCTGGCCTCAGGCAATCATCCAGTCTTGGCCTCTCAAAGTGCTGGGATAACAGGCGTGAGCCACCAACCCCAACCAATATCCTTTTATTAAAACATAAATTGGAGGCTGAGGCAGGTTGATCCACTTGAGGTCAGGAGTTCCAGACCAGCCTGGCCATTAGGGTGAAATCCTGTCTATACTAAAATTACAAAAACTAGCAGGGCATGGTGGCGGGTGCCTGTAATACAAGATACTCAGGAGGCTGAGCCACAAGAATCACTTGAATCTGGGAGATGGAGGTTGCAGTGAGCCGAGATCACGCCACTGCACTCCCACCTGGGTGACAGAGGGAGACTCCGTCTCAAAAAACAAAAACAAAAAAAAACCCAAAAACTTAAATTGGACTGTTTCTTCCCTGCTTCCTGATTTCCCATCACACTTACATTAAAAGATAAACTACTTAACTTCCCCCACCTCCCCAAGGCCTGCAGGCCCTGCCCAACCTGTCCTCCTTCCCCCCTTCCCCCTTCCTCTCTCCCCCTCCTCACTCTGCTCCAGCCACACGGGCCTACTCACTGTTCCTCCAACAGCCAGACACAGTCCTGCCCCAGGGCCTTTGCATGGGCTGTGCCCTCTGCCTGGAAAATGATTACCATTACCCCTGAATACCTCCCTTCTCACACTAGTTACCCCTTTCCATTAAGGTCTTGGCCCAGGCTGGGCATGGTGGCACGTGCTTATATTCCCAGCAATTTCGCAGGCTGAGGTAGGAGGATCACATGAGCCCAGAAGTTTTTGTTTTGTTTTGTTTTGTTTTGTTTTGTTTTGTTTTGTTTTAGACAGAATCTTGCTCTGTCACCCAGTCAGGAGTGCAGCGGGTGATTTCAGCCCACCAAAACCTCCACTTTCCAGATTCAAGCGATTCTACTGCCTCAGCCATTGGAGCAGCTGGGACTACAGGTGCCTGCCACCATGCTCAGTTTTTTGGGGGTTTTTTTGTTTTTCTTTTTTGAGACAGAGTTTTACTCTTGTTGCCCAGGTTGGAGTTCAGTGGCATGATCTTGGCTAACTGTAACCTCCGCCTCCCAGGTTCAAGCAATTCTCCTGCCTCAGCCTCCCAAATGTCTGGGATTACAAGCATGTGCCACCATGCCCAGCTAATTTTGTATATTTAGTAGAAATGGGACTTCTCCATCTTGGTCAGGCTGGTCTTGAACTCCCAACCTCAGGTGATCCACCTGCCTCGGCCTCCCAAAGTGCTGGGATTACAGGTGTGAGCCACTGCACCTGGCCACTCAGATAATTTTTGTGTTTTTAATAGAGATGGGGTTTCACCATTATGGCCAGGCTGGTTTTGAACTCCTGAGCTCAAGTGATTGACCCACCTTGGCCTCCCAAAGTGCTGGGATTACAAGTGTGAGCCATTGTACTCAGCCTATGAGCCCAGGAAGTTTGAGGCTGCAGCGAGCTATGATGGTGCCACTATACTCCAGACTAGGCAACAGAGTGAGATGGAGTCTTTTTTTTTTAAATATAGAGTCTCGCTCTGTTGTCCATGCTAGAGTGCAGTGGCATGGTCTACAAAAAAAGAAAAAGATGGAAAGACGGTGGTCATGGTGGCTCACATCTATAATCCCAGCACCTTGAGGGGCATAGGTGGGAGATTCGCTTGGGGCCAGAAGTTCAACACCAGCCTGGGCAACATAGCGAGACGCCCCCACCTCTACAAAAACAAAAACAAATAAACGAAAAAATATCCAAGCACAGCGGTGCATGCCTGTAGTCCTAACTACTTAGGAGGCTGAGGCAGGAGGATTACTTGAGCCCAGGATTTCGAGGCTGCTGTGAGCTATGATGGTGCCAATGCAGTTCAGCCTAGACTATAAAGCCAGACCCCCAACTCTAAAAAAAAAGAAAAAGAAAAAGAAAAAAGCCACCACCTCAGGGAAGACTTCCCTGATTTCTTTCAATGAGTAGATGTTCCCTGACCTCACTTGTGTCTTCTGTGGCCCCTCCCATTTCTTCCCCCCATTGCAGTTCTCATTTCCTGACTTCCTGTGTCTCTCTTGCCCCAGACTGTCAGCTTCTGAAGGGCAGGGATTTTCATCTCTTTTGGTAACCCTGTGTCTGTGTCCCCCACACCCAGCACAGGGCCTGGCCCATGCTAGGAAATCTTTGTGTAGCTCAGTACTGGAGACTATCTTAGAATTCCACAAGTACTGGGTAACTTATACCAATTTTACGGATGGGGTTGTTGAGCCTCAGCAAGATGTGACCTTCCAAAGGTCATGTAGGCAGTGAGGTTCTTTGGGGTTTTTTCATGTTTAATTTTTAGAGACAGAGTGTTGCTCTGTTACCCAGGCTGGAGGCAAGTGGTGCAAACATAGCTCACCACAGCCTCAAACTCCTGGGCTCAAGTGACTGCCTCACTTCAGTCCACCACATGCAGCTCTTTTTTTTTTTTTTTTTTTTTTTTTTT